GTATTGAACTGGTTTTTATTTTGTTGAGAGGAAAATGACTTTAATTAATTGAAGTGGATGCCACTAGTACTACAGATTGAGAGGTTTTACATCTAATAGAAGACATCAGCCAAGAAAGATTTTTTCTTTTTTATTATCATTATAACAAGTGGGGGTGAGGAATTCGAGTTCTAACCTATTAGTCAGAGGCAAGTATCAATTACGGCTGAACTAAGCTATAGCAGAAATTGCTTACCACAAGTATACGGGCCAAGTTTTAATATAGTTGGTAAGTCAATACTGATGTCGTCCTCTGGATTGGATTTTTAGCAAGTACCATAGATACAATCGTTCAATTTTATTTAAAGAATTGAATCAAATGAGAGAGTATATATGAAAGTAAACAAACATTTAACAGAAAAGAGAAAGTCAATGGTAGGAAAGGTCATAAGAATTCTATTCACCTATTGAATCTATGAACCAATTATTTAATTACGCAAGAATGAATGAATTATTTATTCTATAGGCCAAGATCTCTCAAATCTCACGTGCCTCTCTCGAGTGCAAGCTACTTCTCTTTACTAATTAAGAAACCAATATCTCTATCTAGTTTTAATAACAATGTAAAGGATTTAATGAATTAGTCTTTTAACGACCTCTAAAGTACTTCTAAATTTTCTGATCTTAAAACYCCTTTAGTTATGCATCTCAGTTCTAACTCTAAACCACCTCTCCCAAACGTAAAGATTCTAAATCTAAGATTAATTAATCTATGACCAGTAGATTAAAGACATGAAATATCGAGAAACACAAATAAAATATTCAAATGCATTCAATCAAGCGAATCAAACAATTAATCCATAAAGTTTAATGGCTACATCAATCCCTTAGATAAGAGGTTTAGCTACTCATGTTCAATGTAAAACAATAAAATTACAATGAGAAGTCCATAAAAAAACTAGAAGAATCACAAGGGAGAGGAGAAGAAACTAAATCCAGCATGTCAATCGTCCGTCCCTAAAGCGACCTTCACGATCCCGAGTCTTGAGAATCTCTTTTCTAAGCTTTTCGATCGTCTCGTTGCCCTCCAAATGGGCCAAAAAGGTAAATTGCCAAAAAAGCTCTATAAAATTTCTCCTCTTCGACGCCTAAACAACCCTATTATCTTATAAAAAAAATGGCACGACAGCATTGAGATGCTATAAATGAGATTGAGATGCTAGAAGTTGCAGTGTTGAGATGCTCTGGATAGCATTGAGACGCCACACAGTGTCAAGACACTATACATAGAATTGAGACACTACTACATATTCTTCAAGTACGCTTTAAGTTCATAGCATTGAGACGCTACAAACAGCGTCTCAATGATATCTCCTCGTGTTTTAGGCTCCAATCTTTGTTGTGTACTCTTCTTTAGTCACTTTGACTCCGATTTTTCTCTCAATTTAATCCAATAATGTTTCGTTTCTTCCCGATTGTCAATTCCTGCAAAATATATCTTATGTACGTAAACCTATCGTAAAGAAATGAAAACTAACAAATAACTCTCTTATAAATCTAATGAAACCTAATTCATTCAAGCTCATGTCAACTAATAGTTAATATTGACCGGAAATAATACAAAGAATATGGTTTTGCTGACAGAACTATGAACAAAGCCACATTCAATAGTCACCATTATATTAAAAAAGTTTTAATATAAAAAACTATGGAGATGGAGACTTTATAGTAAACAAACAATTTTGAGTAATAAATATGTTAATGTATAGTGGTAGAGTACATATGCTATGCTCCAATGGAATTAGAATAAAGTGGGGAAGACTTTTGTGGAGTGGGGGTGGTTTTTATTGACATCAATTAAGTTTTTTATTGACTATTTCTTCAATTGGGTAATTAAGAAAATAAGAAGAATTGGAAGGTCAATTATGAAAATCAAGCACAATATCTAGTCCTATAATCAATGGATGTGGCATCTAACGAATTAATAGCTTTTGATCTTTTAAAATTAAATTTCCAAACAAATAAGGTCAAATACAACTCATGATCACATTAAACAAAACACTCCATCTTCAAAATAAGATTAAAGTTTTAATTTAATCTTTTATATATTTTTTTTTAATATCACAAAATATTATAACTCACTGATGATTAATGATCTTACGTGAGGAAAAAAAAACTCACAAAAATTTATTATAGATATAGACTATTTCTCTCCAAACCAATTAATTTTAAGAGGAAATTCTATGAATATGAATAATTGAAACTGATAAAATGATGGTGTGCATAAATAATAATAAATTATTGAGTTGGAAATATCTTTTCTTTCTTTCTTTATTTGTTTAAATAAATATCTTTTCGTTATTTGATTAAACAAACTAGTCACTCGTATAATATAATGTAAAACTTACCAAACTAATACCTTTATTGAAAATAATTACGAAAATATAATTGTGGAACCACCCTATAAAATAAAGAGTATTTCCATCGTATATAATAATTGAATGAAATATGAGGTAAAAGTTAAATAGTTATCAATCATGATACGAAAAAATTGTTAGTTTTTTTTTTAATTTGACAATGTCCAAATACTCAAGAAATTTCAAATTCATGAACGTTTTAATTAAAAGTCAAAAGGTTTATTATCACATTTAATAGGACAAAGCTAAGTTGTTGTTGGGAATTTAATTATATCATTTTCAAAAGTATGACCAAGTAGTTGTATGGAAAATTAAAAGAAACAGGAATTTCACACAAAGTTCGGTGTCCCCAATATTTAAAAAGAAAGAACGGTGCGTTTGGTCAATTTCAAACCCTAGACCATCTATTTATTAATAGTTATTTAATATAACATAAATTGTGATAAATATCTTTTATTTAACATTTGTTATTTGGTAAATTAAATCTGAAATTAGCCACATCCTTCTCTCTTTCTTTAACACAAAGTTGATTATTTTGATTCTTATATTTTGAGTATTTTAAAAGTCATTAAATTTTATTTGAAAATTATTTTAGTCACTTGTCATTTTAACTTTTAAATAATATAAATCTAAACTCATTTTAAATCTACACTTGTCGTACCGGTATACAGTGCGGCACTCAAAATACTTTTTTATATAAACATTTATCCATCATATGCGTATAAAACATATGTCAATTGGTTAAAATATTTTCTAAACTAAAACAATTGGAGAATCGAATCTCCACCTTCACATGTTTTTTAACTAAACAAAATGCCTAGATTAATTAATAGGATAGATAAGTAATACTAATATGATTTTTAGGTAAAGTTTAGGGAAAAAAAAAATAACTTAGGAAGATTTATATAAAAAAAATTCGAAGGATTAGAATATATTATAAGATCGTCGAAGTGAGTATAGCTCAGTGCTAATTAACATATATTTCCAATCAAGAGATTGTGAGTTCAATCCCTACCTCGCATATTGTACTAATTAATATATATATATATATATATATATATATATTAATTAAGGCTTGGTTCCTGATTTAAAAAAGTATTTTTTTGGCACTAAGAAAACAAAACATCATTTTGTCATTTTTTGAAAAAAATATATATTATTTTAGATATTAGATCAGTATTTATTAAAAAAAAGAACTAAGGTACAAAACGCGTTTTTATTGTATTTGAAAATATGAAAATGGAAATGGATTCACAACCCTTGGGTTGAAACTTCCATTTTAAAAAGGTCTAGAAATTGTTGTTTTTCTTCTTTTGTTAGTTTGTTTTAGGAAAAAAAAAACAATTTAAGTAAATTGTTATTAATTATAAATTTTAAAATTGAGGCAATTTGTTGGGGGAAATTGAAAATTGAAAAGAGGGAGTTTTGACTTTTGATTTGGCATCTTTTGGAAGCTTCGCTTGTCGGTCACTCCAACATTATCCATCCTTATCACATTTATTAACTTTTCATATTTTAGCCCAAAAATATTAGTACATTCTAAAATTGTTATTCCTTTTTCCTTCAATTTTTTTTCATGTGAAAAATGTTCTTTTTAATCCCATTTTTCATTTTTCAAAAATAAATTACGCCATTTTCATTTTATTTATGAACGTCGTAAGGGCAATTCAGGAATCTAAGAAAAGCAAACTTATCAGATTAAGAAAAATATTTTGTACTAAAAGAAGATTAATCAATTTTAAAATCATTTTAAAAAAGGGTTAAAGTTTTCTTTATAGTAAAATATATCTTAAACCATCCACTATTCCCCAGTTTTATATTTCCATGAAGTAGAAAAAGGATAGGCCATATGTATCAAGTTATRAGATTATTTATGGGAGAAGAATAAGGGATAAGTCGTAAATCATAAATCGTTATTTCGGGATGAAGGTATCCCACTGTCCGAGGCATGACACTTCATCTTCATTGATGATTAAACTACACCTAAGTCTCTGTTTGAGCTCGGTTCTTTGTAAAGATTGAGCTGAAGAATCCTACAAGCAATCGTCAGTAACTGTTTGTAATTATAGTCCAGATCTTCAGTCGAAAATTTGCAATAGTGGAAACCAACCAGCAAGTGGGAYCCACCAATCTACGCCTACAAATATCGAAATTCATTCTATATGTAAATACGCAATTCTAATTGCACGTCTCAACGACCTCAGAAGACCATTATTGACTTGAGCCTCAAAGACTTTTATCTTCTCTATGCAATTAGCTTAGTAAATTGGTGCGTGTTCAGTAGAGGAATTGGAATTCAGCATAAAACTAAATTGACTAATATTTACCAGATTCAACTGAAAAAAGAAAAAAAAAATTACAAAGTACACTTTTTCCTTTTTTTTTTCCTCACAAATAATATAAAATAGTCTACTTGACCACAACTAATAGGTGCAAATAATTCATTATTGGTTTAGAATATGTTTTTTTCCTCACATAATCATGACATTAACTTGGGAAAAATAAAACGCTTACCAAAATAAATTGACTTATTGAGTACAAAGAGTAGAGCATGTAATTCAAAATTTAAATGTACAAAATGAAGGAAGGAATTTATTACAAGAAAAAAAAAAGGTACGTTTTTTAGGTCAGTGTTTTTGTTTGAAGGAAAAACGCGGCGAAAGTGGAGGTTGCAAATGGGAGTTTCATTTCAATTTCATCATCATCGTCTTCATCTTCATCTTCATCTTCATCCCTGAAGAATCCAGGAAAAAGAGAGATCTCTGTAATTCTGAACAAGTCAAGGGCTATTTCCGTAATTCGGAAGACCCAGTAAAAGCAGTCGCCGTCTTTGTATGAAAACGCTTGACATTTTCGCTGTTGCCCGTTGCGAGGACTCAACACTTGGGGGAGAAACAACCCAAAAATCCTCAATCCCCCAACATTCAACGCCCTCTTCTCTCCGTCGATTCGCCGGTGAGGCATGTTCGAGGGCAAGGATCTCGCCTCCGACGGCGACAACTCTCAGACCAAGCTTCTGCGCCATGTTTCCGACCGGAAGAGGGAATTTTCTGATGCCAAATCTGGGTTCTCCGATGGGTTGCATCCCAAATCCGCGAGAATCGGGAATTCCGGCTCTCAGGAACTGACTCTCAGCTACCTCTGTGAGAATTCCAAGCTGGGTTCCGCTTCGGCTTCGGCTACGGCTTCCCCCGAGAAAGAGGTTCTTCCAGGGAAGGGTTTCGCGGCTTCCTTCGAGAAAGGTAGTTATAAAGGTAAAGAAGTTTTGTTTTCTGAGAATTGTAGCGAGGATGATAAATGGGTCGAGAGGGATTTCCTGAATTTGAACTCGAATAGGGGAAATCACTCCAAGCGAGAGCTGGAGGAGGAGATTGAGAGGGAGAATCGGGGGAAGAAGCCGAAGCTCGAGACGCTTAATCTTTCTTTAGCTTTACCAGAAGTCTCACTTTCTCTTACTGCTTCTAATGCGCTCCAAAATGAAGATCCTCCCCCGGTTCGATCCAAGCCCTGTAGGAGCCTTCAATCTTTGGCACCATCGATGAATAATACCCAAACTACGTGTTCTAACGATTTCACTGCTGCTTCGCTTTCCTATTCCTACTCCCACCAATTCTCCCACAACCCCAGTTGCTCCCTGACGCGAAATTCGACTGAGAATTTTGAGTATTCAGTTGGGAGAGACGACCATATCTGGAATTGTGGAGAGGGAACTAATGGGTCTGTTCATAGCAGGTTCAAACCATTAGGGGATGGGGTTGCCTTATCAAATCATGGGGGTGGACTTAATTCTTTGTTGCAGGGCAATCGCCCTTTGAACAAGGAGTTATGTAATAACTCCGAAGAGCACTCCTTTTTTCCGTCTGAACTTCCGGCGAGACCGAGAATGGAGGTGAAGTCAGGAAATTCGATTGGAAGGGGATCGGAAAATTTAAAGGGGCTAGAGGGTGTTGCTAGGCCGGAGAGGATTCTTCGTGAAATAGTCTCAGAATCGATCTCGGTCATGTCTCAGATAGTTCAGGAGCTTCCCGATGAAACGCTTGCATCAATCAAAGATCACTTGAAAGATCTGATTGCGACGCCTGACAAGAGAGATGAATTATTGTCTCTCCAAAAGCGGCTTGAGSGCAGATCTGATCTCACTAAGGAGACTCTTTCGAAGTGTCACAAAGTCCAGTTAGAAATTCTAGTTGCAGTGAAGATGGGGCTCGCAAGTTTCATCTCCGGGAAAAGCAGGTGTTCCATTGCTGAGCTTGTGGACATTTTCTTGTTTCTGAAATGCAGGAACTGCAAGAGTGTAATCCCGGTTGACGACTGTGACTGCAAAATCTGCTCGGCCAACAAGGGGTTTTGCAGCTCATGTATGTGCCCCATCTGTTTGAACTTTGATTGTGCAAACAATACTTGTAGTTGGGTCGGTTGCGACGTCTGCTCCCATTGGTGCCATGCTGCTTGTGGGATTGAGAAGAATCTCATCCGACCCGGTCCGAGCCTCAAAGGTCCTTCAGGGACAACCGAGATGCAGTTCCACTGCATTGCTTGCAATCATGCCTCAGAGATGTTTGGATTTGTGAAGGATGTTTTTGTGTATTGTGCAAAGGACTGGGGTCTAGAAACTTTGATGAAGGAGCTTGAGTGTGTGAAGAGGATCTTCATTGGAAGTGATGACTACAAAGGTAAGGATTTGTATATTAAAGCTGCTCAAATGCTGGCCAAGCTCGAGAGGAAAGCACTTGCTCCTTGGGAAGCCTGCAATACCATTCTTGAATACTTCAATTGTAAGTCTGAAAACTCTTTCGTGTTCCTTTTCCATTCTAATCTTTTGCCTAAATTCGATTATTTAATATGTGTTTGTAAGAAAAATAGATGTTAATCTATTTTGTGCTCTCCTGAATATTCAATCTGACTGTTTGCATAAAACATGAAGTTCTTTAATATTTATGTGAATCATTTGTTGGCTTTTTGTTGTATCTGTTTCTTGTTCATTTGTATCTTTTTGCTCCTGTAATGGCCACCGCTTTTCTTACTCACTTTTTGTGGTTTCGTGATGAGTTTTGTTTTTGAATGATTCAAGGAAACATATTGTTTTCAATGTAACTAATCAGTGCCTTACGCACTAGCTCGTCAATTTTGAGTTGATTGTTTATTTTTTCTGAATGAGTGCATTTTTTAAATGTTCTATATGCAAGTGTCAAATGAACTTTTAATATAACATAAATGAAAAGCACAAGTATTGGAAGAATATCTGCTGCTTTATATCCATTTTCTGACATAGCTGTTGAATGTCTTTATTTTCCTCAGTGAAAGAGTGCTATTTGTATTTGTTGCAGCCATTTCATAATCTATGAGAATAATCAGAATGGTTCTTGTCGAAAAAAACCAGGTTTTATGGTCATCATCTGTGAATCTTTGCAGCACATAGTAGTTTTTTGCCTTCTGAAATACAGTCTGTGCCATATTAGTTCGATTTGTTTGTATATATGCTTTATATTTATGACATAACATATTTGCTCTTCTCTTAGTTCAAACATCGAAGTAAAATGACACTCTGTCAGGTTTTGGGTCGGATTTCCGGAAATGGGGAAAAGATCAGTAGGATATATCAAGTTCTTGATCAAAGTAGAATGTTTCTTTAACGGTCATATGTTTTAGAGATGAAACCAGAGAGTTCTGGATCTTAAAGGAAGGTTACAAGCTTCTTGTTTCTTTTGGCTTGCCTTTTCAGATGTGCGTAGCGTCTATGTGTGTGTTGAATGCTTGCTGTTTTACATGTTGATAAAACCATCTTCTTCTTGGATAATCTGTTTTGGAGGAGTTAATTTCCATGGTGATTAGAATATCGACTCGAAATCGTTACATACATATGCTCTTTTTTATTATTGAATTCGTTTTCGTCTCGTTCTTTTAAGATTATTTTGGTATTATGCATTTTGGTGTTCCTGCATACTGATACTAACAGAATCGTTGGACTTGGTTCTCAGATGGCACGTCGGAGATTTCAACGTCAGGCGTATTCTCAGAGAAGTTGGGACCAATCGATACGACCAGCCTTGCAAAGGATGGGATGTCACATCCTCAATCGAGTTCCTTACCATCGACATACACCATGCAGAAAAACACCCCATCAAGGCCACATCATGACATGATTTCCAGCGATCTTCGACGGAACGATCTCAAAGCTTCCATCACCAGCAACATGAACGCAGACGACGAGTTCCAATTCAGGACATTGGCAAAGAAAGAGGGCGTCGAGAGCTTGGAAAGCATCGTGAGGATCAAGAAAGCAGAGGCAGGAATGTTCCAAAACAAGGCGGATGAGGCACGGAGGGAGGCGGAACGACTGAGACAAATAATCATTGCAAAGACGGAGAAACTAGATGAGGAGTACGCGGAGAAGATCGGGAAGCTGTGCCTGAAAGAGGCGGAAGACAGGCGGATGAAGAAGGTGGAGGAGCTGAAGGCAATGGAGAACTCTCAAATAGATTATTACAACATGAAGATGAGAATGCAGAAGGAGATAGGTGGATTGTTGGAGAGGATGGAAGTGACAAAAAAGCAAATAGTGTGAGGTGAGGGGCATGTGTTTATTTCTAACTTGATTTTTGTGAAGGTTTAGCAATAATGTTGACTGTATTAAGGATTATATTGCAATATGTTGTGTTTGTTTATTGTTTAAGATCGCAATAGGCAGTGATTGGGAAGCTCAATCCTGATCGATTCTCTCTTGTCAAAAGTTACAAAAGTTTTCTCATTCTTCTGATTTCTTTTCTGTTCCTGCATTAGCATTAATGTAAAGTGAAACACCCCCCACCCCCTGGATCTTTAATTTAGTCTCTCTCTATCTCGATCTCTTAACGGTTCTCCTCTATCTTTCAAAGGGGCTTGGAGCAGTCYCGTTGGTAAGAACATGGAGTCTTGTAGTATCACACATCATGAAGTCTTTGTGTTCTGTCTTTGTGTTCTAAATAGAATGCATTTAGTTTTGAGAACACCTAGTTATGATTATGATAAATGTAATCTTTTCAATTGATGGTTGAGCAATTAACCCATCTTTTTAAGTCATGAGATCACACAAACAAATATTTCCACACTCCAAAAAAGATCAAGAAGCTAGAAAAGATGAGGCAAAAAGAATAAGAACAAAAAAGAACTAGAGCGGGATATTGGGGTGCYTAGCAAAACCGACAACGATGTTGATGGAGATGCCAAAGAGGAGGACAAAGAAAGCAGTGAAGTTGAGGAGACGAGACTCATGGTTAGCTACCAATTTGAGAGAAGTAGCCTTCTGAGATAGACCAGTCAAKGCTGTGCATATTATCATCAGCAGCAGAGCCCTTCCCCCACTGATGTGCCATGGCAGCAGCTTGGCTTTTGTACTTGCCTCTGCTCCTGGAAACAAGAATGTACACAGCCCCAAAACCCACTGCCAACAACCCAATGTAGATCACAATAAAACAAAATAATGAAACCTACAAACTCAATGCCCAATTGGGTCAGATTATTATACCTGCAAGCCATAAAGGGAGAAGGTGACAATGCCAATCCATGAATGCAAACTAAACATATCTTCCAAGTTCACCAAATCATGAAACTTGAAAGCAGCGTTTATCCCAGCAATTCCCATGCAAATGGCTACCAAATGCAGCCCCATGTGAGTTATTTTCCTCGCCATCTTATCTGCCCTCACTGTCTTGAAGGCCATCATTGCTGCTCAAACCCAAATGGTTATGTTTTCACAGTTTCTTTTCTTTTTTTCAGTCAACATTGAATCTTAAAACACAAGTTAAATGAATTCGAGTTGGCTCTACCTTCCCCGGACACGAACACGAAACCGAGGAGCATGAAGAACGGGTGGCACTGCCAAAAACAAACCCCTCCAATGTCAATTCCTCTGGTATATCTATATCATATTAGTGGTATATGTGTTAAAAGAACTKATATTTGAGATTTGGAGGTGTTCTGATGAGTTTAGTTGGATTGGATTAAAAGACTATTTTGATCCAACCCAATTATTTGATTTGCAAACTTGATCCGAAATTYCAATAACTCTTACTAGATGATGGACCTAATTCAACCCGACTATAAAATATGGACTGAGATGATCTGAATCATCGAGTGATTAACCCAACTTATAAAGTTTTAATTTATTTGAACTCAACCTAATAAAATTTAGAACACGAATCTACACATAATAGGGAATGAGAAAGAGTGAATGAAATCTTACATTGAAGACGAGGTTGGGATTGGGAGAATCGTAGCCGAGCCCGCCACGATAATGCAGCAGCCAAACAAGCAGAAGAATGCAGGCTGTGACACCAAAAATATGTGCCATGATTGTTACTGCAGATGCAGTGTGCCTAAAACTTGCCCTCTCCATGGTGTCCATTATTGGCTGCTGAACTTCTCAGCTTCCTTTTGTTCTTAATACTTCTTCTTCATCTTCTTATATATATATATATATATATATAGAGKTTTTTTTAGAGAGAGGGAGTAGTAAATATTGTAATATAATGTTGCTTGAAGAGCTGGGTTTGGAATTGTGAGTTTGGAAAACTTGGAGCTTTGGCAAAGCATAAGAAAAATCAATCTAAGAGAGAGAGAATGATATAAAGTTTAAGACTTTTAAAAAATTTTCTTACGACAGACTTCAACTGATTATATCAGATAAAGAAAAAGTGGTTCTTATTACGAGTGAATAGAATTTTTTAGTACCACAATATACATGGGGTTGGAGATTTGAAGCCACAACTTTTCGAGAATATATGTTTTAATTATCAGTTGAGCTACGTTCAGATCGACAAGAACAAATTAATTCTCTCTTCTAATTCAGGTAAGTCCAATGGTTCAGATTGGGCCTTTTTGATATCTGTTTTGAATTTGGTAGAAGGAAGAGGAAGCTAAATTTAAGGTGCCAAAGATGGAAAAGGTAGGAAGGCTCTCTTTATCTTTCTTTYTGGCTCTTTGAAGAAAGAGGCATCAACAAAAGCAATTCAATTAAATTCATGCTCTTGTTTTAAGACCAAGAAAAATAGATAAAGAAATCAATTCAACTGATCTTTTAGTAACTAATTCTTTGGTCCGGTAAATTGGCAAATTGTCCCTCGTCACTACCATATTAAATTATATACTTCTTTTTGTTTATACAGGGTGTGTCAATTTGTTCACAAGAAATTTCTTAGAACTGAAATTTTAAGTAAATAAACTTGATATAATTTCTAATATATAATATTTTGATACTTATTCTCGAGTAAGAATTTTGATTTGATGGCTSATGAGTTTGTTTACGTATAAATGAGGTTGGCCCCACAACTTTTAGCTTGTCAAGGATTTTCAAAGGTTTCAGTTTGAGGTTGTAGCTTTGATGAAGGGTYTTAAGTAGGCACTTCTTGTTAATGATTATGACTTTGAGTTCTTGGATTCCTTTGTGGGTAGGGTTTTTGTGAGCCTTGTACATGTGAGTTTGGGCTTGGTTGGCTTTCGGTCCAATTGACACATGGCACAATATGACTCGACTCATCAAATGGCTTGTGACATTATTTGATTATCCAATCGATCTTGAGACGCATATTAATTTGTAATTGACCCCGAATATAATAATATGTAATTTCGTCATTAATTTAAAATAATGACACGACAATTGATGATTGATCAAAATTTATCATTCAACAACTACGAAAAAAAGTTATGAGTTTGTATGTTCTATTTGACTGACTATGTTAGTTGATTATATTAAAGTGATTCACGGGTAACAACAAAGAAAATGTGTTGGGTTTTTAGGTAGGTTAAAAATAGTTTATAAGTCTCTTATCTTTKGGTAGAAAATGTAAATCATCTTGACCTGTTGAATTATACTCAGTTGGCAAGTTTAATCAAACATTAGATACTAAATTAAAACAAAATGCAAATCAAGAAATCAAATTAAAAATTTTAATTCATATCATCAAATTGAAACTATACTCAATGATTTGACAAAAATTGATAATTTAATCATGAATAATTGAAAACCAAGATTTTTCAAACAAATAAAAGAATATTATTGTTCACCCCATGGGAAGTGGCCCTTTACAACTTGGCAAATAAAATGAGAGCCCAAGAAGCTCAACTAAACAAATGAACAATCCACATTGGGCCAAGTATCCAACCCATATCACATTGGACCATGGAAAAAAAAAAGACACCAAAAAAGTCCAATTAACACAACCTAAGTACATTACAAAATTACCTAATCACCCCTAAGTACATTACTCTACCTTTTCCCATATCAAGAAAGAAGGAAAAAAAAACACATAAAAAAATTTGCTGGTGGCTACGAAGTTACAACCGCGACAGAAAATGAATACTATATATATATATATATATATATATATATATTACATGAACTCTTTTGTTATAGGCTTTATTGAACCGACTATGGGGTAAGTAAGAGATAATATAATGTTACAATAACATCGTTGCGTTGTACGTCGAAGGATGGATGTTTTTTACCTAGATAACTTTATTTTTGTAATTCATAGTAAGCTCCACAACCCCATAGACTTACAATAAAAATAAATAAGGTAGCCCTAGGCCTACAAAAGAAGGGTTCACCAAAAACCCTAATATATTGCRTAGGCTTTTTTCCATTCCATTGAATATTTGCTCATTTTGACCATACACAGAGGTCACTACTTTTCACTTTGCTTAGCCATTTATGACCTCTCTTTAATAATATATGGCTAAGCTCCTTTTTGTCACATTTTTTTTTAACTTGAAATGAATATATACCATGCTACTTACTTTTTTTACTTTTATTTTGATGATGRAAAAAACTATGTGGTCGGGTGTCAGATTTGAATTTATAAAGTTGAATCTTAAGACATCAAATATTTGTAAACAATTGTATGAGATTAAAGACCAAGCATGTATACATGAGACAAGATGGATTCCTTTTATATAATATTGAATAAGACATTATACAAAAGTCTTTCACTTCTTTGATCATACAACAATAGCTTTTAATGGTTCCGATTAATGAGTTTGTCAACATGATCAACTTAGCTTAGCAGTAATTAATACTTGTCTCTGACCAAAAAATCATGAGTTTGAATCTTCCCACCCTACTGTTAGTTATAAATTCATTTCACTCTTGTTAAAATTAAAACATGAAAGATATAATATATTCTAAATTATATAATATTGTTAAATAATCATTCAACAAAATTTATAACATATATGCTAATAAATTAATTAATATTATTTTAGATTGAACTAAACATATCACTAAATACGTTGGAACAATTTTTCAAACTGAGATTTGAATTTTCAAATCTACTATCAAATACATATCTGAAAATAGGAGATACAACATTTTTTTTTTAATTGAATCTCTTGTTCTTACATTTATATATTCAAATCACGAACCATATACTTATTTATTTTACAAGGGAAAGTGAAAATATTTATAAAACTAAAAAATAAAATTAAAAAAAAAAACCTTTTGAATGTGTAGAAGAAAAGTAAAGATAATTAGTGGCTATGATTCGTTCAACCATTTCGAGCATGTCTTCTTCCCTCTCTCTCTCTCGCTAAAAATGGTGCACTTGATGTATAATATTTATATGTAATTATTACAATTTTGGTATTTCAATTTTTTTTTTCTATACACTATAGTGGCTCTCCATAAGGCAGTGTGCAATCTTTCCCTCTTTTTCCTCATAATTGAAGCCAAGATTACATAAATTTGGTTTAAATATTATTCTTGCTTTCCAAATTTTGTTTATTTATTATTTTATCTTATTTTCTTTATAATTTTTTATGTATAATGATTTAGTGTCTACCCATGGCATGAATTCATGAAAGACATCTTAATAAAAAAAATTGATATATACTCATTTTTTTCCATCTATATGATAATTAAGTAAATATTTGTAGGTAGAGGTAAAACTTATGGATTAATAATACATAACATTTAAGAGTTGAAAGATTAAAATAAAATATTTGAGAGTTTAGACGTCAAAATAAGATAAATTATTTGTTGACTTGAAATTATTCACTTTTCTTCTTCTTTTCAACTGTTCTCTTAGTCTTGGCTTATGGCTTGTTAGACAAGTTTAGTTTAGTTGAAGAACATGAATTCCATTTGGGATCTAATTATTTGTAGAAGAAAAAATAATATTGAATTGATAATATTTTTAAAATGGTTAAAAGTGATAATTAAAATAATTTTCTTGCTCTTCATGAACCCTTCAAAATCATTTAAAAAAATGTCTATGGATTAGTTCGACATCTCAATCTAGGTACCTCCCTCATTCATTTAATCAAAAATAAAACCTCATCTTTCAAGCACTTCAATAATAGCATTAAAATGCTGAAAAAATGGTGGCACCTTATTAAAAATCTAAACAAATCATAATTTTATATATTATAMTATGTGGTTTAAAAATTTTGCAAATCACATCCATCACTATATAGATTTTGAAATCTAATTAAAAATCGCATTCATCTATTAATTAAGCTGGTTAGCTTCGAATAAAATGATATAATTTGTCGAATATGAGTTTTTCTTATAACTTTTGTCTCAATATAGTTTTTTTATTTTATTTTATTTTTAATGAAAGTTAAAAAAAAAAAGGATAGATTTAATAATGGAAAAGAGATTCTATATGATAAATAATAGAAGGTTTAGTTAGCCTTCTAGAGCACTAGGGGAAGCTTAGATTGTAAGCAAAAGAAACAATAATAAATTTTTCTTAAAAAGAATTAATGAAAGCTTTTTATTTATTTATTTAAAAAATTATTATTTAATTTTTGTTGCTAATTAAGAAACAAAAAGGTGAAGAACAGCTGTTTTCCAACTTTTCCAATGAATGAATGAATAAAACAGAAGAGAAGATCAAGCTGTGTGTTGCTGTTTTACTTTCTCTTCCTTGAAACAACTCTTCCCATTCTCTAATTATTGCTTCCAATTACTTTTCCAATATCATTATTAACCTAAATAAATTTAATTGTCTCCATTTCACACACTTTGGTTTAATGTTGATATAAATTTCAATTTTGTGTCCCAAGTGTTTTTTTCAATTTAAAAAAAKTATCTAACAAGAGAAGAGCCTATTAGTATTAAGTCTGATCTATCTTTTTAAAATTAAGTGACCTATTAAATATAATATTGAAAGATTATGAATCAGACTTGTAATTTAACCATGTATATATATTTTAAGCCTTATTTTTTAGAATTGTCCACTGTATTTAGGTTTAGAGATTGGATAGCCTAAATTTGTTCTTTTATCTTAAATCATGCAATATGAAATTGAATTTTGTGTCTAACTACCCTTTAAATTTTAAAAAATATATAAGAAGTGAGCGAACTATTAGAGACACGAAATTGGAAGTTCTGCAACCTAAATAGACTCTTTTTAAAATTATGCAACCTATTAAA